AACCGGCATTTCTCTCCTCTCGAGCTATCAGCGTGACAGCTCGTGAGGAGAGAAATGCTGATAACCGGCATTTCCTTATTTACATGCGATCAGCTGTGATTGGACACAGCTGATCACATGACAGAGCCGACATCTTCCCAGGGATACAGCGCACCACCGATCGCCACGCTGCACGCCCCGGGGACACTCACACGCGGTTAGAGTGGGAGGACGTCCTATGACATCCTCCCAGAATGAGAGAACCACCTTGCGCCTGTCATTTCCTTATATAGCAGGCCGGAGGGCAGTTAAGGAATATATTTTTGTGTTTGATTGTTATGCTTTTGAGAATATTAAATAAAAGTGTTTAATTTTTTCTAGAAGCCACAGTAGTTCTCTCTGAAGCCTCTTTAAATGTGAGCTCTTTGCTTGCATTCACTCTATTTATTCTATCATCAGTCCTTCTGATTATAGAATCTCCAATTACCACCAACTGTTTAGGCCTTCCTGCACCACCCTCAACACTTGTACTAGATGGGCTGCACTCCCAGCTGTTAGCAGTGACATCCAGGGCTTCCACCTCTGTGCTTGCCACCTCCACATCTTCACTCAACTTGGCAAATTTGTTTTAGTGCTCAAACACAGGACTGGCCTTCCTTTTCTGTGAGCCCCCACCACTCCACGTAGCTACAGTAACCCATCTTCCTACCGGATAATCCTGACTTACTCCTCCACACAAAACCCCTTTAACCACCTGCTCAGTGGGCAGAAGGCCCCTTTCAAAGTTGTCCTCTCTGCTCAGTGTTGCAACTTGCTCCTCCAGATCTCTAATGTGAACTTCTAGAATGGCAACCAGCTCACATCTGTCACAGCAGTATGCCTCTGGAGCTGTTGCACCATTTTTGAATACATATGACACACTGTGCACTGAGCCAACCCTTCAACCTTGTTAGCCCCCATTATCCCTGTTACAATATAATTACCTATAGGAAATGTAAGATGTTTAGATGTGTGTGTCAGCACTAACTGCCAGGGCTCTTGCAGACACGCTTGTTTCCAAGCACCACCAATGCTCAGTGGTTAAAAAGCCTAAACATTTTTCACCTTAATGCAGGGCTTGACAAATTTGTTTGAATCTAGGAGCCAACTAAAAAAGTTAGGAGCCAGTTTTTTTTTTTAACCATTTGCCTACTGGTTACTTTCACCCCCTTCCTGCCCAGGCCAAAATTCAACTTTCAGCGCTGTCCCATTTTAAAGGACAAATTGCACGGTTATGCAACACTGTACGCAAATTAATTTTTTTATCTTTTTTGAGACAGATAGAGCTTTCTTTTAGTCGTATTTGTTTACCACTGGGTTTTTATTTGTTCCTAAATACACAAAGAAAAGCCCGAAAATTAAAAAACAAAAAAAAACTTTTTCTTCAAATAAGTAATTTTTCTACACTGATGTGTGGTGATGAGGCAGAACTGATAGGGCCATGATGAGGCTGCACTTATGGGGCACTGATAGGTAGCCACACTGGCTGTCACAAGGGTAACAGGCTCCTGGGCTGCCCAGACCTGACTGTGAGCTGCAGTTTGAGCCCGTTCAGGGTGGGAGCCGGAGCACCTGAGGCATCCTCTGCAAGAAGGTATCCAACTCGAAGCCATGGCGGAGGCCATTCAGACTCCCCAGTTTCTGCTCCGAGCCAAGGCTGAGAGTCTTCCCGGAGTGGCAGGTGTCCCTGAGAGCCCCACAGGGGACACTTTCTGCCAGCTACACTCCTACTCTGACCCACCCCTCCTACTACTCTACAGCCCTACAAATAAATAAAATGTCCAAAATTTCACATAAAAAACTCAAAAAAAGAAGTCCCACGTGATATCCAAATCTTGATGGACAAGTGCTCACTATTCCAAAATGGAGATGAAGATAAAACTCAGACGTTCTTCATATACCTCAAAAAAAAAAAACAAAATCTAGACATAGTGTATTATCTTAGGTATCACAAGTATAGTGCCACACGTGCAGCATGCAAAACACTATAGTGTCACAGCATTCGTGAAAAGGATACTCAATAGATATCACTGCAAACCATATAAAAAAATGCATAATTACCCTAACTCAAAATTATATCAGCATGTGATCAACCAGTGTGCATGGAAAATCCCCAAGCTGGCATCCTCTTGTTCCTTTGGACCTCACAAACAGACCAGGAATCAGTATATGAAAAATTGATATATAAATTTTATTGTAGCCACTTACATTAAAATCTGATAAAACCGGCTTCCTGCTCCTAGCAACAACTGAGTACCACCATTGTGATATCAAAAATAATCTCCAGGGAGTCACCCCGTCACACTCCTGTCACACTCCACCAGGAGTGCACCGCCACTCTCACTCCAGCTCTGGGGGACGCGTTTCGCACCAGGAGTTTGCACAAGCGAGTGTTATGGGTCCCTTAGCAGCCCCTGCCATCTCCCCTACGCTCTCCTCAGCCCTCACAACCCCTGGCCTCACACACATGCAGTGACACCTGCAGGCTGCCCGGCAATCCATGCTAACCATGGCCGCCAGTGGCTGCATATTTAGTCTTCCATGGGGCCTGGCACCCAGGAATTTGAATGCATTCTTTGTTTGAAAAAAATGTTTAGGCATCAGTATCCCACTCAACCCCACATTTTAATTACCTGATCCCACATTTGATCCAGTGCTGTGCACACCTGCAGCTCTTCTTTCCCCTCACCTCCTGGTCTCTCGGGCTTTGCTGAGGCAAGGGAGCCATTGGTTTTCACTGCTGTCAATGACAGTGACAAGAGGGTGGGGCAGAGTCCTGCTGTCTGTGTCAATAGTCCGCACGACTGCACCCAAAGAAGCAACTTTTTGTGGGAGCACAGTGTGGAGTAGAGGTGCCAGGAGCAATTGCAGGGGACCCGAGAAACAGCAAGCAGGCTGTATGGAAGTCTAGCAGGCATAGAGAATCACCAGGTTTTTACAATTCTAGAATTTAACAAATTAAATTTCTCCTATGTTTATGATAGATAAGTCTTTATTACTATATAATAAAAAATGTTTTTTTTTTAATATATCCACTTGCAGGATCTGTTACTACAGCTTAATTCATCAGAGTCCAGGTCATTTATGTTAAATGTACTGTAAGAAATTTCTAGAATATAAAGGGTTAAAACAAATGTCCAAAAACTATAACAAAAGCTGAACTGTTGTTTCTAGCCACAAGATTGCTCATTTAGAAAAATAAAATGAACTTCACTTCTAAAATAATACATTAGCATTCAAAATTGAAAATAAGAGGCTCTGTGACTTTGGCCATGCAGTGTCTGTGTAAACAGACCCTCCCAAGTTACTTTGCTTTCAGCAATCTAACTTCAATCATCCTTCCATTGCAGCCACCACAAAAATACCTTGTGGCAGAGCCTAGAGGGAGAGGCAACATCAATCCTTCCTTCAGGCCTTGCAGGCAATCATTGCATAATGGAAAGGATGTCACATGGTCTTCCATATCCAGAAGCACGATTATCAGTGGGTTGGTGACGATAGATTTACACAGACAGTGTCACTTTTGCCTATTTAGAACAAAGTGATAGTGTCCAAGTACCTTTAGGATCTGCCTGTTATACCCCCTTCCTGTCCAGGACCAATTCTTTTGGTTTCAGTGCTGTGACAGATCGACTGACAAATACTCAGTCATGCAACACTGTACCCAATTATTATTTTATGTAATTTGAAAAACTGATAAAAGCCGGTAGGTATTCCTATATAAAAATGGAAAAAAAAAAAAAAAATAGGGAAACTAGAGACTCCAAAAATAACCTGATTTTTATGCCTTCATTTTTGAAAATGAAGAAAAATGCTGGTATTAAGGGGTTTAAAGCTACTACTATACTGTTTATAAGTGTGAGTGCTGTGATCGAATGTCACAGATCCAGTCCAATCGGCTCTGTGTCATTAGCCAATACTCTCTGCTGTCTAATGACAGCGGGAGCAAAGTTTCTGTGTGCACACCAGGCATGCACACAGTGGTAAACAAAGATATATGGATATATCTGCCCACCCTAGAAAGGGCATCATCCAGCTGTTGATTTACAGCTGCTAGATTACATTCTTACATACATTTTTTTTTTTTACCCAAATCACAAAGCTGTATGAATTAATTTGTCTTATATTGCTGAAACTTCCCTCTATAGCAGAGCTCTTGGCATCAATCTTGTTCCATACTTTGAAGCTTGTGTAATAGCATATCTCCCACTGGTCTCTGTGGCTCTTCTGGCCAGGCCCTAAGACACTGTTGAGTCTTGCAGTGACTAGCCATCAGACAGGTATATATAAACCTGCTTTCTTCACAGTGTAATGCCTTTAATTATGTTGGACCTCTGACAGGGTCATTTTAAAGCCAGTCAAGATCTAGCAATAATTTAAATAGTGAAAACTGCAATAATATTTGCATGGTAATTTTCTGCCACACTTACAGCTGTTAAATGCTAGAGGGAACAAGTTACTTTAAACTGTAGACCATTAGTGTTCATATGTATGGGATTTTTAACTCCTGAGGCAATGTTCCACCCGCACTACGAACATGCACTACCAATGGCATGCATCCCAAACTTTGGAAAACACTGCTGTCTAACACATGGTAAAGCATAGCAGATGAGAGAACTTGCAGACTGGTTATACTTGTGACAGAGAGAAACAGGTGTTCCAAGTTTTTTGGTTTTTTTCACCTTGTTCTTATTATGGCATGTGAATTTGCCCAGGTGTACAAATATACTGCAAGGAATGTGAGCCATGAAAGAAATGGAAAAACACAAACAGTGTATAACTGCTTTTTAATGGTTTACTAAATGCATGTTATAATACAAGCCTGTGATTTAGGTTCCATCATAATGCAGATATTTCGGAGCAAACATTGCTTTGTGGCAGAAGAAAGTGCGCGATTACACTACTGCATCAAAGATGTACAAACCCTTCTGAATCAACCCTACTTTTAAATAAACTTAAAAAAAAAAAAAACAAACACGTATTTATTTTCGATACCAGAGTCTGATTTTCTTTTCTCTTTTAATCTTCTTTTGGAGTTGCAGGATACCATACAAAAGAGCCTCAGCGGTGGGTGGGCAGCCTAGAGAGACAACACATGAAGGTGGTAAACACAGTCACAAGAATTAAATAAGCTCTTATACTAATTATGTTTACCCAAGGAATGAAGCTAGGTGGTAACTCACTATGATTTTTGTGAACATAATGTATCTTTCACAGAAGAAATAATAAAAAAATATTACCTCACAGATATTCAATAAAAAAGGCAGAGTAAAGAATGTCTGAGCCAAGTGGAAAAAAAAAACACATCTCTGCAATAAAACACACATTTACCCATGTGTTGTCTTTTTAAAAACACTGCAAGAGGAGAAAAAAAAAAATACCTGCTGATCCTGCCAGAAGTCTAGTAAGGTCCTTATCTTTTTGAACTAACAACTCTCACTTAGCAGCATTTCTCAACAGTAAATCCTAAGCGTTATTGTCAGCCACATCAGAATTCTCTTTTCTGTAAAAACCCCACCCACTTATCTTAAGAAGATGAGGAGGAAGGACAGTTTTCCGTAGTCCAGAAGGGATAAATGGGCAGAACTGACAATACAGGCTGAAAAATTACAATGCAGCAGAGGCACTGTCCCATAATCTCCAGTGCGAGATTAGGAGCAAATTCAGATTTCTGGCAGATCAACAAGCTATTTATCTGTGTATGCAGCATTTTTAAAGAGAAAAAAAAAATTTGAGAAATATGCATGAATGTTTTAATTACCATATTTTTCATACCATAAGATTAACTTTTTTCCCCCCTAAAAAATGGGGGAAAATGTCTGTGCGTCTTATTCCCACCACTGCCATGTTAGAATACCGGGCCAGCCGCTCGGCTCTCCTGTGCTCCTCGGTCCAGCGCTGTCCTCACTGTCTTCTCTCCCTGACGCCTGCATCTTTAATGTGGGCACCCAGCTGTGACAGCTTGCAACTGCACAGCCAGTGCTGCACTTTGTGAATGGTCCGGCAGTCTTCTGGGACCTGTCACATGTCCCAGAAGACGGGGAGGGAGGACAACTCCGTGGAAGTGTGGGAGTAGGTACCTGCTCTTCCCCCCCCAAAGGTCCGCAGTCTCTGGTCATCCCCTGTACTATGTCTGCAGTCTCTGGTCATCCCCCTTACTATGTCCAGTCTCTGGTCATCCCCTGTACTATTATTATTATACAGGATTTATATAGCGCCAATAGTTTGCTCAGCGCTTTACAATATAAAGGGAGACAATACAGCAACAATACAGTTCAATACAAGAGGGTTAGGAGGGCCCTGCTCCTTGGAGCTTACAATCTAGGATTATGTCCTAGGTCTCTGGTCATCTCCTGTACTATGTCTGCAGTCCATTGGTTCAGAATATTTTTTTTCTTGTTTTCCTCCTCTAAAACCTAGGTGCGTCTTATGGTCAGGTGCATCTTATGAAGCAAAAAATACGGTAATTGGTCCAAATAAACACTTTAAGCAACTTCACAACAGTCAGCATGCTATGCGCTATAAAATGATCACAACACATCTTAAATTATACCTGTGTGAAGAAAAAAGTGATTTTTAATACAGTATTTGGAGCTCTAAATGAGGCTGCATTAATACATTATGAGTGAGAGATTGCACATAGGCATGCCCATTCCTACATTCACTCTTTTCTAAATATGTGATAACAAAAAGGCGACAGATCACTGAACGTTAAAACGTGTCTAGATTCAGGGGGAATTTTTTGTGTTAAACACATGCATGCATACCACCAGTGGTGTATTTTGGTTTTGTGCTGCCCTAGGCAAGACTAAAATCGGGCACCCCCCGTATCTAAATTTGTCCCACCCCTTCCTGTTTAAGATCCATCCCTTCATCTGTAAACTCCACCCCCTTCCAATTTAGGCTCCACCTCTTCCTATTAGAGCTCTGCCCACTGACAACGATGGGGCGCTATTCCTCCCACTGACCTCAATAATGGGGCACTATTCCTCCCACTGACACCAACGATGGGGCACTATTCCTCCCACACACACCAATCAGAGAGAGAGAGAGAGAGAGAGAGAGAGAGAGAGAGAGAGAGAGAGAGAGAGGGGAGAGAGAGAGAGAGAGAGAGAGAAGAGAGAGAGAGGGGGGGAGAGGGGGGGAGGAGGGGGGAGAGAGAGGGAGAGAGAGGGGGGGGGGGGGGAAGAGAGGGGGGAAGAGAGAGGGAGAGGGGGGAAGAGAGAGGGGGGGAAGAGAGTGGGGGGGTGGGGGAAGAGAGAGAATACACAAGGCTGGCTAGAAGCTAGAAGGGGGGCAGCTTTCTCTCTCCTCTCCCGTCTGTGTGAGGGGAAGTGGGGGGGAAACTGTCAGCACTGGGGACTGCATATGCTGACAGATCCCCTGCAGTGCTGGAGGGGGGGGGGGGGGGCGGCCGTGGGGGAGCAAACAGTAGCTGACCATATGCAGGAGATGGATAGGGGAGGTGACTGGCGGCACATAGAGCAAACAAGAAATGCACGGTCCTCTATGTGCCGCCCTGCCCCCTCTCCAGCCGGCTCCATGGCTGACAGGTTCTCTGTCTCCTTGCCCCATCATTGTCGCCGAGCACACACTCAAACCCGCCCGAGCACACCCCCTGGCCAAGCACAGCCCTTTGCAGCAACAGTACTGATCCCTACTGCCTGGGGGCAGTGCCGCCCCCGAGAAGTGCCGCCCAAGGCAGATGCCTTGTTTTCCTTGCGGCAGATACGCCCCTGCATACCACACTTGTAGAATATATTACCTCTAAAATATACAGTCTCAATACTTTCTCTCAGTTCTATTCCCCAGAAAGCCAGCTTTCTTGAAGCACGCTCCAGATTAAGGATCTAACGTATGGCCTAATATGCTTGCCTATCAATAAGAACCAAGTACACTCAGGTGCCTGTGCAGTATCCTGACTTTGTTTACTTATTTCTCACACAGATCAGCCCCTTGCTATCATTGCCCGATGCCAGAAAATTAACAGTCTAAGCGAATTATCACTGAGGAGGGGAAAACTTAAGCTGGCCATAGTCCGAGTGATTTTTGGTTGGTTCTAGATGAACAATAAAATAACCTGACAAGTGTTCTAATCCCTCTCTCCACTCTATCAAAACAAAAAGAAAAAAAAGATTTTAGTTATACTTTAAGAATATGGAACAAATGGGTATTTGTCCTAAAGTACAGAAAAAAAGAAGAAGGATGTAGTTACCTGGAACATAGATATCAACAGGAACAATTCTGTCACAGCCTCTGACCACTGAATATGAATAATGATAGTAGCCTCCTCCATTGGCACAGCTGTGGGAGACACACATTGAATAAATTATATCTTATACACCGTTTGCACAGCTCCCTGAATTTTAGCTCATCAATTATTCACCATATAGTAACTGAAGTTCATTTAATACCTAAAAACGTTTCAATTACAGAACAAGCAAATAAAAATTAACTGCTTGGTCTTTCCTATATCCAAAACTTCCTTAGAGATGGAAATCACTGGCAGTTGAATAGTTGATAAAAAAAAGATATCTGAAAAGGCAGACAGACAATCTGCACTAAATAGCTGTGTAAATTAGAGCCATCTCGGCATCCATCTAGTTGAAAATGTTCATGTCTGCAGAAGGATATGAGAGCAAAAACTAGAGGGAGTTATGACCATGTATGCATAGTACTTGTGTTCTACATGCAAAATATCCCACAGCAATGTACATACAGTGGTTTGGCAAAACAAGGCAATACGAAGAACTAATAAAAGAGCACCCAGTCAACGTGAGTTTCAATCCAAAGCAACTCAAAAAAGGCCACATTGTATTCAGAGATGCGTTTAGATCAACCCATTTACGATTTTCAATTCAAAATATCAGGTGACAGCCATAAATATTGTAATAAAACTAGGAAAGAAATGCACACAACATGCATAGCCTTCCTCATAGAAAGCTCATTCCTCAGGGCCCCCTCTGCTCGCCTGTGTACTTCCACTGAATCCACCTCTCATACCAAACTGTATAAAAGGAATGCAATGCCAGCCAATGCTTGATGGTGCAATGCTTTAGAGGCTCCACAAAAACAAAAATAAATGCACTTTTTTTTACCTGCTAAAAAATGTGCATTTATAATTTTTTCTTAATAGGCAAACATATTCTTTAAGATCGCTGTACTAACATAAGCAATGTTCATGCAGCAATCTTATTGTGCAGGGGGACTGCTCTCCCACTAGAACACACTGGTTGCAAGCACCAATCAAATACCAGTTTTCCAGCATGCTCATTCCACAAAAGCCTGCACACACAAGCCAAAAGACTATTGTAGCGGGTGACTTTGACCGATATTCAGGCAGTGTGAACCCAGCCTTACTGTGCGTTGACGTAACCCATGGTAAAACATGCGTTTTACCATGCTGTAATTAACAAATGCGAATAGTATGTTACATTAAAGTGTATATAACACCAATGATTTTTTTTACCCCCAGTTGCTTCCTGTTGCTCTTTAAGATGTATATAAACCACAATGACACTATTCACAAAAAGGCTGTGTGTTGTCAGCCCACAAAAGGACTTTGGATCTGACTCCATTTCTGGGACATCAATAGGTATTTTTGTATACTTGCAGGATCTTCAAAGCAGATGAAACTTGGGGATATGTGCATGTGTTACAGAGATGCACTTCTAATTTGCTTCTTTTTTTTTTTCCATTTTCACAGCAAAAATACACTTTAATGCCTTATAAAAACAGATTGTGTTTTTCTGGGTGCATCATGATGAAAAGTACGAAGAGCAAATGGATAAAACAGTAAGCTGTTGTGTGGCCCTCTGGACATACAGTGCGTCACACCTGAAGCCCCCTATATTTTTTAGGTTGACCACCACTACTCCTAGACAGTAAGCTTGTGGAGCAGAGTTATTGTGATGCTGTCAGCAGAAATTTTTTTTTCAAGAAAGCAGACTGTCAGAAACACAGACAGTCAGGAACACAAGACAGAAGTGAAGTGAGAACAGGAGCTGAAAGCATTCAGCATCATCTGCTAAGACCAAAAGTAAAATGAAAGAATTTAGAGGTCCAAGAACAGAACATTATCGTAATGCAAAATACAAAAAAGGACAGAGAGAAGTAGTGAGGGAAACCTACCTGCCCATGGACACTACATAACGTGGCTCAGGCATCTGATCATAAACCTGTGTGTAGTAGAAGATATACATATTACAATCTGAAAACCAACTTTGTCAATGTATACAATGATAAGTTACAAACTTAAAATGTAAGCTCATGCTAAACATACTCCCACCCCCATTCTATTTAACCCTGTAAAGAAAATATCTGTATACTTACCTATTTTGAAGTCACTCCAATCTAGTCTCCAGCAGCAGCTTCTGTGTACAGGAGAGTTCACCAACAATGACTGATTTAATATGGGGCATCCGTTGTTGGCTGTCCCTCCTCAGAAGCCAACACTGACAGCTGATCCTGGAACTGGACCAGAGCTGCTTCAGATTAGACAAGTATACAGATCTTTCTTTTACAGGGTTAGATAGAATAGCCTTAGAACGGGAGTGGAAATAGTTTTTTAACCTTAGTTAGGTTTTGCCTGAAACCTCACTTTAATATATGTGAGGAACTTGTATTAGACTAAGTATTCATAATGTCTCCTTTAACCGTTTGCCGCCCGCCCTATGGCCGAATGGTGGCCGGCAAATGTCATCAGCGTTCCAGTTGGACGCCATATGGTGTGCTCCCACACATGCGCAGATTGCGCTCCTGCAGAGCCGCACAGCAGCGCGATCTGTCACCGGCCGTGTACCTCGGACACGGCCCATGACAGATCTGAGTATCGGCCCCGTTGCAGGTACCATGTGACCTGCTGTGACCAATCACAGCAGGTCATATGACAGTTGTATACAATGGATGGATTCATTCATGCCATCCATTGTATACTAGTGTCTAGCTGTGAATGGTCATAGCTAACCACATGCACATGTCATGTGATTAGCTGAGGCCAAAATCGCAGCCAAGCACAAAAAAAAAAGAATCAATGTCATTCAGGTAAATGCTTGCTTATAGCAAAGTAATTCTTTGCTATAAGCAAATTGTGTAAAAAAAAAAAAAAAAAAAAAAATACTGATCACTTCCCCAAAGTAGTACAATGTTCCTATGGTAACATTGTACTACTTTGGTCATAGTGAAATAAGAAACGAAATGTAATAAAAAATTAAAAAAAAAAAAAAAAATTATATATATATATAATATATATATATATATATATATATATATATATATATTAATATATATATATATATATATTTTTTTTTTTTTTTTTTTTTTTTCTTTTTCATACTGTCACCAGTGTCCCGGATCACCGCCATGCCAGTTATATGACGACGCTGTACTGCACTGGTGACAATATGTAAAACAAAAAAATAGTGAAACTAATTTTTTAATCTTCCGAAAAATGACAAAAAAAAATACAACTTCAAAAAACTCGCCATGCCTCTTATGAAGTACGTCGGACTGTCTACTTTGCAAAAAGGGGTCATTTGGGGGATATCTATACTGTTCTGACATTCTTGGACCTCAAGAAATTAGATTGGCTGTCAGTACTTCAGGATTGATCAATATTCAGATCTATATCATAGTTTGTGAACTCTGGACGAAGTCATCCTAATTTGGGTTATTTTCACCAAAGACTTCAGACGAAGTCTGGAAAACTTGACGAAACGCGTTAAGGGTGTGACGTCGTGACGCACGCACGCAGACCGGAAGTGTCGCCGCGGCCATTTTGTGGGTTTTAGTCAACACATGGCAGATTGCATTTGTTTGATGGAACTCATAGGAGAAACATGTTGGAAGCTGGATTAATGAATTTTTAATGTACCACGGGATGAAATGGAATTTCTTCCTATTGGAGAATAAAGTTTGAACATTGGGATAATTTGTTGGACACTAATTTGTTGGACACTATTTTTATTTTTGCTTATATTAGGACATTTTTTTTTTTCAGGACACTTTATATTGGACTTTTTTTGATTTTTGTTTTTTGAATTTTTTGAATTTTTGAATTTTATTATTTATTTATTTGAATATGAGTGGGTTTATGTAATTTCAAAAAGGTTATAATATTGGTTGGAAAGGAAAGGAAAGATTGGAGGATAAAAGATCTCAACTAATTTTGGAGCCATCAGCACAAGGGCCACATCACATTAACTGTAAGTTACATACCTTGTGCTGATTTTTTTTTTTTTTAAATCATTTTTTAATAAACTAAAGCTTTAAAGTAGTTGCAAAGATTATTTCTTTTTAATTAACATGAAAATGAGCTGGTTGCATTCCTAAATGCACAGAATACATCCAGATAGTAACATCTATAGGTAGTAATACAAGGGATTGTTGATCCAGGAAATATCCGATTGCCTTTGGGGACCGGGAATTATTTTTTCCACCGCTGGAGCAAATTAGACCAGGATTTAGTGGGATTTTTACCTACCTCTGAATCAACTGTGAGCATAGTGTTCTGTATATGCAGGTATTCTATTTATTTTTTTTTCTGTTAGTTGAACTAGATGGCCTTGTGTCCTTTTCAAACAGACTATGTAATTGTTCCTTTATGGTCTTGCAACCAACTGCATAAATGGTCTAAAATTTCTAGCACTTTCTATAGCTTTTTTTTAAATCTTGTTAGCGCTTGATTATAGCATATAGCATGTGTATAGCATGGTGAGCAATAGGAAAGGGCATTCAATAAACTTATGATGAAGTGGGCCATTAGTGGAGGGACTATTAGGTAGCTACTGGTATCCTTGCCACAGCCTTAAAAGTATATATAAAAGGCAAACCTCTTCTTTGTGTGTCCTTTTGACTGCTCACCAGAATCTAATATGTACAAGATGAATAGTAAGGAAGGAAAAATCCAAAACGAGTTGCCACCAGAACTGGAGGAGAAAGCATCCAATGGGGACATTTGTTCCTGTGACAAATGTCTAAAAGGAGGGAAACATCTCAATTTTCTTCTCACTTCCTGCTGTATCTACAGGACAGAAAGTGAAGAAAATTCTTTCAAAATGAGATGACAAAAAGAAAAATCCTGATATGGGTTTAACCATTCCCTACTCAATCAAAAAATGAAAAAAAAAGAAAAAAAATGTTGGCTTTAGATGCATTTTAACGAAGATAAATTTCCAAGTGCCATTTTACAGTACCATTTAAAAACTCAATATTCACAGCATACACCCACATTTTCCACTGTTAGTCAGAGTAACTTGCTTTTCAGGAACGTATACATGCTTGAAAACAAAGCTTGGTTTACAGACAGTATTATCACCTTTCTTAATGCAGGGGCCATCTTATTTGTAAGTGTTCCAGCCACAATCATAACATCCGCTTGCCTTGGACTAGCACGAAAAACTACTCCAAACCTGTCCATGTCATAACGTGGAGCAGCCATGTGCATCATTTCTACAGCACAGCATGCCAACCCAAAAGTCATAGGCCACAAGGAACTCTACAGGGATAAAAAAAAGAAGCATATATATTAGATGTTCATCCATGTCATTTTTCACTCTTACACCTGCAACACAGTTCATGAAGCAGAGTGTAATAGGTGTATATTGTTAGAGACAAATTCTGCCTACACCACTCCCCCCCAAACACAAATCAGTACTTCCGTTTCTCCCACTTTCAGGACAATTATCAGAAAATGGTGAGAAATGAAAAGGATCTGTCAAATCCAGAGGAAGACCTCTGTAGGTGACAAATTGCAGCCTTTACTTAATGCAGGCAGCAAAAGATGGCAGCCAGTGTTACAGTCTGATGCTGATTTTAGTAACTTTAAAATTCACTTAACCTCAGATAGCAAAAAAACAAAGTTTTTTCAAGTCATGCAAGCAAGTCTTCATTGCTTGCCAGTTGTCTTGTGTGCTGCGTTTTGCAATTTCCTCCCGAAAGGAATATAAATACATTTGTTTGGTGGTGATGGGTTACAAAAAATGGTTTTAAAATGTTGTCAGTGAAGCAATATATCTGGGTTACAGGCAGCAATAATAAAGCCAACCAAGAATTTACCTCTTTAGTATTAGCCAAAGTTAAAATAAAACGTTTTGGTTGCAGTTACAGTTTTATTGAGTGTCCAATGATCATTTGTAAAAAAACAGTTAAGTTAATTTACACTCTTACTAGCCATTGATTCCTCACAGTAACTTGCACTTCTAGGTCCAAACATGGAAAACAAAAAAGTCACCATGTAAAGGGGCTTCAGACTGGCCAACTGTTGGTGCTTATCACCCAAGCTCCCGCCCCCTCTTACTGATGTACTTCAAAGACAGCAGTGATATATCACGAGACATAACGACAGGCGTCTTCGGCAAACATTGCCATACACAAAATTGGACAAGCTGTAGCAGTCATTTGTGAAAGCCACATATTACACATCACTAATATGCCAGCTTCTCTTAGCACTTCTCCTTGGATGCACCACAGAGTTGGACCCATCTTTTTGTATATTAGATCTGTAACATTCTGCTCTGTCAGCCAAGATTAACAAGATGTCTTCTATAGTATACCAATCTCCCTTTCCATGCCCCACTCCATATTTCTACCCAGCTGAGTACGCTTGCAGGTTACCATCAGTCCCAGGGTCATTAGTACTCACTCAGAGAGCTTGGTCTTGCCCATCAGACTTTATGCATCTAGCTCACAACTCCCTTCAAGTTGTTCCAGAGACAGGACTGCAGTAGCTGCATCTCAAGACTCTGTACACTTCTCCTAGTCCTTCTGGAGTATAAGTACTCACAACAGAGGACACTTGGCCTGGCCTAAAAGGCCTTTTGCATCCCGATCCCAGTATACTAGACCATGGGAATGATTTACTAAAACTGAAGAGTGCAAAACCTGGTGCAGCTCTGCATAGAAAACAATCAGCTTCCAGATTTTGTCAAAGCTTAATTGAACAAGCTGAAGTTAGAAGCCGATTGGCTATCATGCAGAGCTGCACCAGATTTTGCCCTCTCCAGCTTTAGTAAAATCAACCCTATGTCCCCAGTCTACTTAGACCATGTTTTGAGTTAGGATGACTACAGCTGGTTCTTCGACTATCTTACCTGGGCCTTCTGCCCTATGCAGTAGCCGACATCTGCATGGCTGTGGGGTGTGTGGCTCCCATGCTTAAAAGGAGACCTGATACCCAACTATGTAATTCCCTATTACTACACTATTTTGGGACAGAGCCACCTAGTGGTAGACTAGATAACTGCACCGGCTTAAAGTGGAAATTCACTCTCTCAATCACCATAGACCATTTTGAATACTTACACTGTTGGCATTAGTAAATACAGAGGAAAGTATATTATATTTACTTGTTTTAAAAAAACTATTTTTTTTTTGCATTTCTTCAGTTACTTTCTGGTTTCTTGCCTAAGCACATGAAGTCATACATCCCAGGAATCTTCTGGAGGGAAGGAGGTTTTCTCAGCTAACTATGCCTTCCTGCTTGTATGCCTGAATTAAGAGCAGATGGATTCGAGGAAGTCAATGCTACATGAATCATCTACCCTTACTCAAGATGGCCTCAGCCAGAAATGCTAGGGGGTGTTTTTCAAAGTGATTTCCCAGCAAAATAAAGCATGAACAAAATAATTAGCAAGACCTCATCTGGAATATGCAGTTCAGTTTTGGGCACCAATTCACAAAAAAAAAAAAGAAAAAGAAGATAATCGAGGAACTGGACAAAGTGCAGAGAAGGGCAACCAAACGGATAACATACATGGAGGAGCTCAGCTATGAGGAAAGATTAGAGGGACTGAATTTATTCTCTCTTGAGAAAAGGAGATTAAGGGGGAATATGATCAACATGTATAAATACATCAGTGGTTCATATAGTGAACTCGGTTTATATAGCTGTTCACCCTGAGGTCATCACAGAGGACAAGGGGGCACTCTTTACGTCTGGAGGAAAAGGAATGTAATCTCCAAACACGGAAAGGTTTCTTCACAGTGAAAATGTGGAATAGACTCCCTCAAGAGTTGGTTCTGGCCAGCTCAGTAGATTGCTTTAAAACAGGCCTGGGTTCTTTTCTAAATGTACAGAATATAACTGAGTCTAATATTTATTAGGTAAAGTTGATCCAGGGAATATCCGATTGCCTCTTGGGAGAACAGGAAGGATTTTTTTTCCCTGCAGGAGCAAATTGGATCATGCTTTGCTGGGGGTTTTTTATTTGCCTTCCTCTGGATCAACTGTAGGTGTAGGATTGTATATATAGGATGGTATAATTTTTTCCCCATTTAATGGTTGAACTAGATGGCTGTGTGTCTTTTTTTAAACCAGACTATGTAAACTATGAGAACATGCACGAATAGGGTCGTTTGCTTTGAATACTAAAAATTAATTAATAGCATTTTTGCTCTGTGGTACTCAGAGGCAGTGTAGCCTCTTTATAGGCAGATAGAAAAACAGATTTTACACCAGACACCTGCAAGTCAGCATTTATAGTGGAAAAAGGAAAGTGCAGAACAGCCAGCCATTTGGGCTTTGCTGTATTGAGCAGTGTTGTAAATGTAACAAGTGGATCATGCTGACTGGAGGAGAGAGAATACAGATAACTGCTTCTTATCACAGCCTTGACCATACTGTATTACTTTAACAGCAGTGAAGAAATGACAATTGCCAGCACCTGTAGCTGTGGAGTCAGGGTTAAAAGAAAAAAATTGCCTTAAAAGAATTACAATTTTTTTTGCGGGGTTCTAGTTCAAGTAGTGTAGTTCAAAAGTGTGTGTTTGCTGTCTACCTACTCTTTAAAGCAAACCTGAACTTTGCCCCCTCCCCAGCTGCATATACTCCCATCTTCTTTACTCCCCTGCTCTCCATTCAGCCTCCAAGAGCAAAAAAAAGGAAGTTTTGTGCAAAGTTTGAGTTGCTTTAGTTAGAGCTTACAGGGTACTGAAGACTCTCTCCTTGGCCGCATGTGACTGCACCGATGCATTCACCAACAACAAGCAACATCATGTGAGAGAGATGGCATGACACACATGCTCTTCCATATATATTAGCACAGAATATTTTATTGACCACAGCAGCCAGAGGAGTGAGGGAAGAATGAATACATACTGCTGGGATGAGGGCATAAAAGTGTACTTGCATGGGCAAAGCAAGGGCTTTTTTTTTAAAGTATTACTGTTGTTTGGACAGAGTAGGAGGAGGTTATTGCCTCTGCTATATTGCTCTTGCTTTCCAATTTGGGTATATCCCTGTACTAAACAGAGACAGAAAAAAAAAGACGAAGGATAAAAACCACCACTATTTAAAAACATTAAGCAGAAAGTGTACCCCCCTCCAAAAAAAATGCACATATGTACAATGCAAGAGCAATAAATAAATAAAATATTAGAAAATGCAAGCAGAAAAAAAAAAACAAAAAACACAACATACAACACCACCATCACAATACTACCCTTCGTGCCCAGTTCACCAGATCATCGAGTTTGGTTACTATAAATTCCCCTTTTCCACTTGGTGCTGATGGTTTTGTTGCAGTGACAGCACTACTTTGCTGTCTCGCTGGCAAAGTGCTAAAACAGACAAGAAATATTTATATATATGAATAAAAGTATTATGAACAAAAAAAAAACAAATACAATAGGATGTGTACTTCTGCCTACCCAGTCCTAAAAAAAAATAGCCCTGCCAGACAACAAAGCCAGGTTGGGGACCTGGGGATCATCATCGTTTTTTTTTTTTAAATACACATCTTTTTGCAGGTAAAAACACTGTGCATTTATTATTTTTGTTTACTTGGAGGCTGTAAAGCATTGCACTGGTGATCAGCAGATTGCTGGTGACATGCAGGACTCCTGCAGACTTGTCAGTGTATCTCTTGTACCTCATACGGGCAAACAGATACACACTGACAGGAAGAAAGAATGAATTACCACAGTGCCGTGGTAGTTCATTGAGAACTACAAGCTGACAGCTGCAAAGGCTGCTGGGACTTGTAGTTTTCCCATTCACAGAATACTGTGAATGGATGACGTGGCTGGGCAGGAGGAGCCCTGCATGGTTGTATTTTCTTTAGATAGTGGCAGAGAGTGGGGGGAGAAGATCCCCTGTTCGCTGTCAAAACAGGGACTCTGGGTTAGTACAAATGTGGCATGTTACACCCCTGAATATGGGTGCAACCTGTAACAAAAGTTGAACTTATCCTTTAATTGAATGTCACAGTGACACACGGAGCGATTATATCTGTGTCCGTTAACCACTTGCCCTCCAGAGGATTTACCCTCCTCCCCCACTTCCTGACCAGGCCATTTTCTGTGATATGGTGCTGTGTTACTTTAACTGACAATTGTTCGGTCATACAATGCTACACCCAAATGAAATTTACATCCTTTTTTTTTTCCACAAATAGAGCTTTCTTTCTGTGGTAATTGATCACCTGTGCGTTTTTATTTTTTGTGCTATAAATACAAAAAAAGACCGACAATTTTGAGGAAAAAAAAAAAACATTATTTTTGACTTTTTGCTATTAACCATGTCCAGTAAAAAAAAATTTAAAAATCAAAAAATTTAGGCCAAAATGTATTCTGCTACATGTCTTTGCCAATCCCAATTTATTGGTTTACGTGAAAGTTATAGTGTTTACAAATGGTGGTATATATACTGGATTTTGTTTGTTTTTTTACTAGTAATGGCAGCGATCAGCAACTTATAGCAGGACTGTGGCGGGCATTCTGACACTAAGGGGAACTGACTTGGTGTCACTGATATCCCCAGTGACACCAATACAGTGATCAGTGCTAATAAAAAGCACTGAGACTATACTAATGGCACTAGGCATGAAGGGGATAACATCTGGGGCGATCAAAGGGTTAACTGTGTGCGGTTTCACTATGGGGGCTGTGTGTGCTTCACTGTAAGCACTGTTTTGTATGGCTCTGCTATGCAGAGCTGACAGAGGAGAGATCTGTGTTGTTTACATACAGGTCTCTCCCCCCATCACACTTAGCCAGCGAGTAATCACCAGCTAGGATTGACAGCTGAGGCTGCAAATGGCGGCACAGGTAGGGCGCGCCCCTTACCGGAAACTGCAAAATCACATATACATATATAACACATGTGATTTTGCCCACCCGTGCTGCCCTGTAGCAGTATTTCTGCTATAGGGCGGTGGGGAACTGGTTAATGTCCGCATCATTTTTTTGGATAGAATAAAACCTATTTTTTTCTGATAAAAAAAAAAAAAAACAGAACGGACGAAAATCAGATTTAAACAGACATGAACTGATGAAAAATTGACGTGAACTGATCTGTTTTTTTGTGTTGGAAAAACATTACTGAACTGATGTTAAAAAAAAAAAAAATGGAACACCCGTGTTAAAGGGACCTTACTGGTAAAACACAGTCTGGTATGGATGTAAGTGCCTTCTGTAAATGAGGCCTCGCAGGGAAAACTGGCAACCCTCCAGCTGTTATGAAACAGCATGCCTCTGCCTTTGGGAGTCACGCTTGTATTAGTCAATCTTGCAATGCTTCATGGGACTTGTAGTTTGGCAACAGCAGGAGGGCCGCCAGTTTGACAACCGTGTGGCTTAGATGGAACTTCTAGGACTGTTGCTGTGTACCTGAAAATATTTTGTACTACAGATGCAGTAATCACCTGATGCTGTTTTTGTTGTCTGCTGCCGGTTGCCAGACCCGAGTATGAAGAGCTGCCAGGCAGGGTGTTCTGTATGATGTGGACAGAGAAGTAGAACGTTAATGTGCACAGTTCCAGAGAACAGAAATGAGAACTATCCGTGCATAATACTCACCGAAAGGCCTGGAAGCAGAGCAGAGACAGCCGGGGAGCTGCAACACACAGAAACCATCGTCACTTGTATGCTCTTCCATAAAACCAGATAAGCGAGGAATAGTGAGAGACCCAGCAACACACATCACCCTGATTGTCGTCATACTGCCCACCAATACACACCACATCGATGTCCTTCATAAACCGAACACAACAATCCCATAACCTTCTTACCTGTCAGCGCCGCCATCTTAGGACAGGACGCCCCCTTAGCGCTTCCGGAAAATGTACGCCAACTAAAGGTTCCGCCGGACAACTGCCAGGAAGCTTAGGTTCCGCATACTAAACGTCACTGTCAAACATATGCAATTTCCGGGAGCGAGTAGTGTAAACTGTACCAGTCCAACGTCCGCACTGGACGTGACAGTTTAGTGTTTGCCAGTAATCTGTAATCTGAAAATGTATATGATGTGTGGAGCACTTGAAACCATTACTACCAAATGTCGTGGGACCTCTGTTCAACCATACATCACAAAGAGGAATTGTGAGGAGTATTATAAACATTACAGTGTGGTATTGAAGTCAAATATGCAAATAATCACTGACAGGATTTTTCCCAATCACCTCTGTTATAAACGACTCTGCTAGCCCGTCAACAGTAATCTAATCTGAGCTGCACATGCACAGCTCAGACCACATTAAAGCGGAGTTCCACTCATCCTGTCAAAAAATAAAAGCATTTACAAAAACTGTAGCTGCTGACGTTTAAAAAACAGCCACTTACCTGTCCCTCGGTCCTGTGGTGTGTCCCCCGCAGCCCATTTCACCTGCCGTCCTGGATTTTTGGAGGCTGGCATCTTCAGTGTGGGCACCCGGCTGTGACAGCTTGCGGCTTCTCAGCCGAGTACCCACTGCACATACGCGAGTAGCGCTGCGCTTCATGAATGGTCCTGTAGTCTTCTGTGACCTGTCACGTGTCCCAAAAGACTACGGGGAGGGAGGGGGAGGACACCCTCCGTTTCTGATCACCTAGGCAGTCCGACCGCAATTGGGAGCCGGTACCTGTCAAATATGGGTACCCGCCCCCCAAAGGTGCCAATCCTTAATTCGGAGCAGTCCTTAAAGCAGAACTTCCCCTTTTGGGTGGAGCTCCACTTTAACAGCGCCCGCTGCATGCTGTAGTGAACTGGTACCCAAGGGGCACCTCATCCCTTCAAACCCGAACACATATTAATTACATAGGTTCTGTGGCTGATTAAGGTGGTAATTAAACTCGGTGCTTTATCTGCCCACTTGCCCTCCAGAGGATTTACCCCCCCCCCCCCCCCTCCTTTCCTGACCAGGTCCTTTTTTGTGAGCTGACCCGTGAGCTCTGGCTTTTGTTTTTAACGTGACAACATTGTCATCTTGTTTTTATTGGTGTTTGGTGAAGGTATTTTTGTGTTTTGAGCTTAGTGATTGTTATGCTTTTGATAATATTAAATAAAACTGTTTCATTTTTTCTAGAAGCCACAGTAGTTCTCTCTGGGGCCTTTTTAATCACTTGCACACCAGAGGATTTCCCCCCTTCCTGATCAGGCCTTTTTTTTTTCGATACGGCGCTGCGTTACTTTAACTGACAATTGCGCGGTCATGCAACACTGCACCCAAATGAAATTTATGTCCTTTGTTCCCAAAAGAGCTTTATTTCGGTGGTATTTGATCGCCTCTGTGGTTATTTTTTGCGCTATAAACAAAAAAAGACTGACAATTTTGAGAAAAAAAACATATGTTTGACTTTTTGCTATAATACATATCCAGTAAAAAAAAATTGTAAAAATAACAATTCTTCATACATTTAGGCCAAAATGTTTTTTGCTGTCTTTGGTAAAAAAAAATCGTAATACGTGTAAATTAATTGGTTTATGTGAAAGTTATAGCGTTTACAAATGGTGGTTTAGATACTGGGATTTACATTGTTATACTAGTAAGGGCCGCAATCAACGACTTCTTGTGGGACTGCGGCGAGCATTCTGGTACTGGGGGGTAACTGACTAACTGCCACTGACATCTCCAGTGACACCAATACAGTGATCAGTGCTAATAAAAAGCACTGACACTGTACTAATGGCACTGGGCAGGAAGGGGTTAACATCTGGGACGATCAAAGGGTTAACTGTGTGCTATGTGTGTTTTACATTATGTGCTATGTGTGTTTTAGTGAGGAAACAAGCTGCTTTGTCTTGCTTTCCTGTGCAGAGCAAGACAAAGCAGCCTCTTCGTGCTGACAGGGGATAGACCTGTGTTGTTTACATTGGACCTCTCCCCTGTCGGCTCCACTGACGATCACTGAGTCCCGGACGAGAATCCAGGGACCCGGTGATTGACACGCCAAGAAGCCAATAGCAGCACGGGCAGGGGGATATAAAGATAGATATAGATTATATATATATATATATACACAGGGCTTGAAATTTCAGCTCGCCAAATGCGAGGGGAAATCCCTTTGTGGCGAGTGTGACGGACGCAAGATCGCTGCCACCAATATGTGACTATCCCACGATCGCTGTCACCAATATGTGACGAACGCGGCGTCAGACCCCAGCCCTTCTCACCAAACTCGTGACCGAAGGACTAGCCAATCTAAAACCGCGAGGTCACTTGCGTAACAATGCCACACCCAGCTGTACCCTGCACAATGATTTTCCAGCTAATTGAACCATAATCTATGTACCGGCAGCCTGAGCGATTGTTACTGGGTCAGGTTAATTACGCAATTAAGCCTTCACACTGCCACCACCTCCTTTTTGTACAGAGAAAGAGGAAACTCAGCAATATCAGCAATAACACTATTATGGTTGATATAATCGTCTGTATAACACGGTCACTGCAGGCCAGTTATACAGAGGGTTAAACAAACAAAGTAGCGCTCTTTTTAGAGGCAGGAATTTGTAAATTGCAATTAATAGCTATAGAAAAGAAAGTTCAACACTTACAGAAGGAAAGATTTATTACTAAAAGGTCAAAAAGGGTGGCTTTCAATGGAGCGGGTGGCTTGCAATGCCCCGGGGATCGATTTGCATTCCACTTGCGCTCCAAGCCTCGTTGTGAAGCCGACTTCCGGTTTCCGACTTCCGGCTTCTTCTTCGGCACCGCCATTACACTGGCAGCGCCGCTGAGGGGACAGGTGCAGGAGAGGTCTGCTCTCCTCTGCTGAGAGGAGACACCTGCTCTCCACCACCACGGGGGGCATGACGAGATGCCCGCTCTCCACCACCTTGGGGGACACGAGGAGAGGCCCGCTCCCCACCGCCTTGGGGGACACGAGGAGAGGCCCGCTCTACACCACCTTGGGGGACAAAAGGAGAGGCTCGCTCTACACCGCCTTGGGGGACACAAGGCCCGCTCTACACCACCTTGGGGGACACGAGGAGAGGCCCACTCTACAGCGCCTTGGGGGACACAAGGCCTGCTCTACACTGCCTTGGGGGACATGAGGAGAGGCCCACTCTACACCGCCTTGGGGGACACGAGGAGAGGCCCGCTCTACACCGCCGTGGGGGACAGGTAAAGGAGAGACCCGCCAACGGTTCACATCCCTACACCCGCCAGTTTAAGGTAAATGACATTTTGTGTGCTGCGCTCTGGGGGCAAAATGATTTAGAAAAGAGTAAAAAAAAAACACCAACAATGTTAAAAAAAAAAAAACAACCACGCCATTTTAGTGCTGCTCTTTGGGGCCTAAATATTTCAAAAAGTAAAAAAGAAAAAAAAAAAAAAAACAAAGCACAGCACACCTTTGCACAATCAGCTACAAATTTCATTTAAAATAAGAAAAAATATTTTCAATAAAATTGGTAGCTGACTATGCATAGGAACCCATGTGCTGAAGAAGTACTAACTACTTATTGGCAAAAAAAGTAAAAAAAGAACACCAACCAAGCAAGCAGCCGTGCTCCGCCCTGCAGAAACAAGCTCCTGAAAGGCAGCCCAGCCAGTAGACACACCGAGCCACCAGAGGAGCCTTCAAGCAGACCAGCCTTCAATCAGGCCAACCTTTAATCTGAACTGCCATTAATCTGAAATGCCTTTAATCTGAACTGCCTTTAATCTGAAGTGGCGTTAAACTGAAGTGGCGTTAATCTGAAGTGGTGTTGAGCTGAACTGCCTTTGAGCTGAACAACTGCCTTTGAGCTGAACAGCTGGCGTTGGGCTGAACAGCTGGCGTTGGGCTGAACAACTGCCGTTGACCTGAACAACTGCCGTTGACCTGAACAACTGCCGTTGATCTGAACTGCCTTCAATGTGAACTGCAGTTAATGTGAACTGCCATTAATGTGAACTACCTTTAATGTGAACTGCCGTTGAGCTGAACTGCCTTGTTTATTCTGAACTGCCTTGTTTAATCTGACCTGCCGTTGAGCTGACCTGCCGTTGAGCTGACCTGCTGTTGAGCTGACATGCCTTTTATCTGAACTTCCTTTAATCTGATCTGCTGTTGAGCTGAACCTGCCTTGTTTAATCTGAACTGCCGTTAATCTGAACTGCCTTTGATCTGAACTGCCTTTAATCTGAACTGCCATTGAGCTGAACTGCCTTGTTTATTCTGAACTGCCGTTGAGCTGAACTGCCTCTGGGCTGACCTGCCGTTGATCTGACCTGCCGTTGATGTGACCTGCCGTTAATCTGAACTGCCGTTAATCTGACCTGCCTTTAATCTGAACTGCCATTAATCTGCCTTCAAGCAGACCAGCCTTTTAAGCAGGCCATCAATCAGACCAGCCAGCAGACCAGACTTTAATCAGGCCATCAATCAGACCAGCCATCAATCAGGCCAGCCATCAATCAAGCCAGCCATCATTCAGGCCTGCCATCAATCAAGCCAGCCAGCCATCAATCAAGCCAGCCAGCAGACCAGCATTTAATAGGCTCAGCCAGCAGAAAGGCCTAGACCAGCCCTGACAGTGCAACTAGCATGATCATGTCATGGAGGATCTTCTTCAGCCTGAGTCATCTGTGGCAGCCCAGACATAATACAAAAAAGTGGTCCTAATTTCCAGTATTCAACCCATATCTCATGTCTGTGAGTTTTTCCTTATTTTTTTTTGGTCTCCTTGTTTACACTGCAACATGAAACAGAGCAAATTAAGATTTTTTTTACAGAAAAAGATCATCCTACTGTTGTGGAGTCCCAGTCAAACCCTATATAAAAGAGAATGAATCAATAGCTAATTAAGTTGCTAGTTGTAGTTTGCCACAAACTTCCTCTGC